ACTTCAACCTTTCTGCTTTGCTCTGGGCAAGCAGTTCCTAAAAGCTGCCCTTGGGACACAGAATGGAGAAGCAATATTGACTTGGCCCTATAGAAGTTCCAAAGCACCTTCACACTTTATCATATTTGATCTTCATAATGATCTCATACAAAAGACCAGCCGAGCATGGATGGCTCCTGCCTCTAAAAAGGGTTGAATTCAGGGCGCCTGGGTGGCTCTGTTGGTTAAGCATCTGACTTCAGCTCAGGTCATAATCTCGCAGTTCGTGAGTTGAGGCCCCATGCTGGGCTCTGTGCTGACAGCTCAGAGCCTGGAAACTGCTTTGGATTTTGTGTTGCCCTCTCTCTCTGCCCCTCCTCTTCTCTCTCTCTCTCTCTCTCAAAGATAAATAAACATTAAAAAAATAAAAAGGGGGCAAATTCAACCCCAGGAGTGACTATAACAGCTAAGTTTAGTGAGATCTGCTACTTAACTTGTATCTCCTTCTTGGTTTGTTAAAGTTTTGTTCTCAAATCAGAAGTTAGGAGGTTGAATCAGGGGTAAGCTCATTCTTTCACATTATGAAATTGTTAAAGTATGCCTATGTTAGAGGTGCCTGGGTGGCTTAGTCAGTTAAGCATATGACTCTTGATTTTGGCTCAGGTCATGATCTCTCCATCATGAGATCAAGCCCCATGTCAGGCTCTGCACTGGGCATGGAGCCTGCTTAAGATTTTCCCTCTCCATAAAAAAAAAAAAAAAAAAATGGGGTGCCTGGGTGGCTCAGTTGGTTAGGCATCCAACTTCAGCTTAGGTCTTGATCTCATGGTTCATGAGTTCGAGCCCTGCATCCAGCTCTGTGCTGACAGCTGAGAGCCTGGAGCCTGCTTCATATTCTATGTCTCCCTCTTTCTCTGCCCCTCCCTGCCTTTCTCTCTCTCTTTCTCAAAAATAAACATTTAAAAAATTAAAATAAAGAAGATTCTCTCCCTCTCCTTCTGCTCTCTCTCTCAAATAAATAAATAATAAATAAATAAATAAATAAATAAATAAATAAATAAATAAATAAAGTATGCCCATATTAGAGCTCTCTATAAGAGAAAAGTATCCATCCAACCTTGTTCAATACTCCGTTGGGTGTGAGAGTTTCCCTTTCAGGGCCAACATATTATTGGAGGAAAGCAATTTCTACTCCTCCCACTTATTTCTGTCATGGATCTCCCACCTGCCACCCACAGGTCCCAGATGTTTCTCAGCACCTTGAGGCGGCTTCCAAAATTATGGACAGAGGTTCCAGAAGGAAATTTTCAGTCTCTACAGGGCTCACCTTTTATCTCCAAAACTTAATAAATGACATCACAAGTAATGCTTGGCAAATAGGCTGAGGGAATCTGGCCAGTAAGGACAGACAGAAGCCTGCAGGCATGGACGCAGTCAGGATGGAAATAAAGACTGATGATAGGTGGAGGTGACAACAGAACCAAGAATGAACAATCCCAGCTAGCATAACAGAACACTTTCACAAGCATGGTCCTCTTTTATCCTTGGCAGCCCTGAGTGGTAAGACAGAATTATACCCATTTTACAGATAAAGATCCTAAGGTCTAGCAAGGTCACGGAGCTATACATAACCAAGCCATACATCTTAGACCAGTGCTTATTGGGTGTACAGATGATGTTTGTGGAATAAAAGTAGAAAGGGTACATTTGGTAGTACTTTTTAAATGATGAGAAATTTATATTTTTGTAATCTTAAGTATCTCCCCCACAAGATGCTTACTAATTACAAAGGGGCCCTTTACAACAGAGAAACGTGGCAGATGCCTCCTTAACGAAGTGATTGATGTTAACATCACCAGTAATAAATCATGTTGACAGAATATAGCCCCTGAATGATGCACTAAGAAGGGCACAACATCGCTTCTGTGGTATTCTTGCCAAAAATTCATAATCTTGATCTAATTATGCAAAAACATCAGACATTCAAATTGAGGGTTGTTTTGTAAAATGACTTACCATCACTCTTCAGTCTCAAGGTTAAAAAAGAACAGAGAGATTGGGGAACAGATTGGAGGAGGCTAAGAAGACATTAACAATTAAATGGAATGTGGGATTCTGGATTACAGACAAAGGAAAACTGGCAAAATTCAAACAAGCCTTGTAGGTTAGTTGATAGCATTCTATTAGTGGTAATTTCCTGGTTGTGATAATTGTACCAAGGCTGTGTAAGATGTTAATATTAGGGGAAGGTAGGTGAGAGGTACAGAAGGTAAAGACTTTAGCAGAACTCTGAACAATTTTTGCAACTTTCTATAAGTGTAAAATTATTTCATAATAAAATATTTTATAGATTTGATGATATAGGAATTATATCTGTTTTTAAAAATAATCTCGACAAAGTAAAGCATTAATATATAGCTTCTTCAGATGATACCTTCTCCTCTACCAGTACTTATTTTTCTCTTGGAATTTGAGATGGCATTTAGAATCTCTGTATATTCCACATATTCTCAGCTAAAATGCATGACTTCCAAGAAGGTCAACTTGATCTCCACAGCTAGAAATCATATCTTCTTCCCCTGAACTCCTCTGATACTTTATCTGCACCTTTATTAGGGTATTTATCGTTTCCACAATGGACATTTTTGGTATTTTCCACCCATCCCTCAGGCCTAACTCTTCTTCCCTCTTCTGACTCCAACCATGAGTTTTTCGTGGAAGCTGCCATGTTTTTACACACCAATCCTAAGCCACAGTTGATTGGTCCAGGGGTAGATATCTGACTCAGTTGGGCCAATCAGATACTTTCCTGGATCTCCTCTCCTACCCCGCCAAAATCTGGAACTGAGAAGTTAATTGGTCTGACTATGGTGGCTGGTGCCATGAGTTATGAAACGTGGAAGCTGTTAGCCATCACTTTCTCTGCTATGTGGGAGAACCCTATCGGCCACTAGAGAGGGAAGACAGGTAACACAGAGAAGCAGAGAGCAAGAGTGAGAGCAAGAGAGACCTAATCCTATTTGTTTTGGAGTTTTCTGTCCTTGCCAGGTATAGGTTGGTCAGTTGACCCTACTGTCTACTACATAATCCCTCGAATCCAATCTCCCAATAAAATCTCCTCCCCCAAAATCTGTATTAATGTAGCCAGGTTAGTTTTATGTAGCTCTCAACCCAAAGACACTCAAATAATATAGCTACTCTGAATGATTTCTGTAAATGTTTTATCTCTCCCACTCATCTGGGAATTGCCAAATGCCCACTTGGATACAGTTTTCATTGGCCTGTGGCTAGGGAGAAAACTAGAACAATGTGGTGAGTTATAAACGTAATTTTTTTAATTGCTAGATTCTGAGATTAGTCCTTACTAAATTTTATGGTGAGAGTAGAAAGTAATGCTTTATTTCTCCTTTTTTTGAATGTTCTTTGACAAATAACAAAATGTGGCCGCATTCGGGGAGAAAAACTTTACTGGGATGTAAAATCTCAGAGTCGGGGAAGCACCCAGGTAATGATTCCTCTGGGGCAGAACCCTCGCCTGGCTCTCGGCATAGCACAGCTCCTAACACATGGTAGGGAAGGAGGTACCTTCGAAAGAGTAAGATGAGCTAATGGGTTTAGAGAACTGTTCTGGTCTCCTGCATGTCACACGGGGATGAGCTGGTTCAGATCTGTTATAGCTTGTTCATTCGCTTCACTCTTATGATTTCCAAATCAGGCCAGATTTCTTTATCTGTCTGCAAAATGCCCTACTAGTCCTGCTTGCCTTTCAAGTGGACCTCCGATTCATTTTCTCCTTTTTTTTTAATTTTTAAAATTTATTTTATTTTATTTTTACCTTTTTAATGTTTGTTTTTGAGAGAGAGAGAGAGAGAGTGCATGAGCAAGTGAGGGAGGGGCAGAGAGAGAGAGAGAGGGAGACGCAGAATCCGAAGCAGGGCTCCAGGCTCTGAGCTGTCAGCACAGAGCCCATCGCAGGGCTTGAACCCTGAAACCGTGAGATCATGACCTGAGTCAAAGTCAGATGCTTAACTGACTGAGCCACCCGGGGGTCCCTATTTTATTTATTTTAGAGAGAGAGCATAAGTGGGGGAGAAGGGGAGAGGGGGAGAGAGAGACATTGAGAGAGGGAGAGAATCTCAAGCAGGCTCCATGCTCAGCATTGAGCCTGACACGGGCTTGATGCCATAACCCTGGTATCATGACCTGAGCCAGAATCAAGAACCCAATGCCCAGATAGATGACTGAGCCACCCAGGCACCTCCATTTTCTCTTTTCTTCTTACATCCATCTAAAGGTGGCTTGACTGGGAAGAGAGGTGAAAGCTCTCTTCTCAAAACATGGAGGGTCAGTTTATTACCGTGGGGAGAGAGCACTGGAATGGGAGTCAGATAACATTGCAGCCCAACTCTGGTTGCCCCTCTGGCTAGTTGCTAATTCTCAGGCAATTTGCTTTATTTCTCTGAGCCTCAGTTTTCCCATCTGTAAAATGGGGGTGCTGTCTAGCCTCCCTTTTGCATGGGGCTGTTAGGAGGGCCAGAGTAAGGCTTTGGCAGCAAATTGGAAACTGGAAATGGGGAGAATTGTTTTATAGGGGCAGTTGGAGGTATTTGAGTAGTAAGTGATGATATCATAGAAATGGGAAGGTAGGGAAGTTTCTTAGTACTTCCTAGCTATGTCTCTTACTTACATGTGACCTCGCTTCTCTGTGCCTGAGCTTCCTTGTCTAGGGAGAGCCATGTCCCATAGTCAGGATCCCACCCTGGGCACTGAAGAACACATAGAGCTGATGAGGGAGAGAGAGGCACTTCAGGAGACTGCAGCAAAGGTTTGGGATTAGGAATTACTCCAGCATGAATGAGAAACACTGGTTTTACATGTTGTGTTTCATATGTACAATCAAAATACTTCTCTATTGTGAAGAGAATTAAGCAAGATAATGCAGGCATAGCCCTCGGCACAGACTGGCACATAGCAAACTCAGTCATGGTGCGTGTCCTTACTGCTATCATTTTAATTTACAGGTAAAGGAAACAGAGTCTCTGAAGGTGACGTGGCTGGCCTAGTTATACAGTTATGGGAGTCAGGCAGAATTTGAATCCACATCTTCTTGACTCTAGAGGCCAGGATCCGAACAACTGTGTTACAGTTGCCCCTTTGTGGGGCCTCTGCTCTGGACCCCAGCTGCCTGCCTGACTCAGCAACTGTGGGTGGCCTTCCTCCTGTGCGTGGGCAGCAGAGTTGGTAAGAACCCTCCCGGTTCCTTGAAAACCAAATATGGCCAGACCAGGCCCTGTGAGGCCCGACCCCCAGGCTGGGCTTGCTCCTGCCTGCTTGTCTGGGCGGTTGGGCCTTACTCCCTGTACTAACTCCTGGCTTTGTCCCAAAGGACTCTGGGAAAGCCTCTATTCAGATCCCCTTCCTCATGGGATCTTGTTGAGGAAGTGAAACCAGTGTCTCATCCATGCTGCAATAATTCCTAACTTCAAGGCTTTGCTCATGGAGTGCCTCTCTCTTACCAGCTCTTGTACATTCTTTGGTGCCCAGTGTGAGGTCAGGAATAATTACTTCCAGACTGTGTGACCTGGAGTAAAATACTCATCACATCCATCCATACCTTCGTTCCTTCCTCCCTCCCTCCCCTCTCCTTGCTTCTTTTTCTCTCCCCTTCATACTTTTCCCCCTTCCTTCTTTCCTTCCTTCTTTCCACCCAATGGGCACCTTCCTGTGCCAGACACTTTATATACAGTGTCTCCTTGCAGACTAGAAGCCTCTTGAGGCTTGCAGACCAGGTGCCAGGGGATAATTATTCAACCAATATCCATGGGCCAAGACTTGTCTTCACTGCAGTCCTGGTGAGACTCTTATTATCACCTCCATTTCACAGTTGGGAAACTGACCTTCTGAAGAGAGGGGAAGTCCAAAGGATGCCCAGTGGAGATGGGTGGCACTGAGACTTGAACTCTGATCTGTTGGACTCTAGAGGCAGCACTGCACAACTCCTAATGGATGGACAGACCATGGTGAAGGTCAGGTTCTGGGGGAGGGCTGGAGCCACTTCTCCACTTCTTAGCTTCTGAGTAGTTCCCTTAACCCAGAGCCTTTCTTTTTTCTTTTTTTTTTTTAATGTTTTTTGTTTTTTTTTTCTAGGAGAGAGAGAGAGAGAGAGACAGCATGAGTAGGGGAGGGTCAGAGAGAGAGGGAATCACAGACTCTGAAACAGGTTCCAGGCTCTGAGCTGGCAGTCAGCACAGAGCCCGATGCGGGGCTCGAACCCACGAACCGTGAGATCATGACCCAAGCAAAAGTCGGACGCTTAACCGACTAAGCCACCCAGGTGCCCCAACCCAGAGCCTTTCTGACACAGCCGTCCCTCCCTCACTTTCCCTACTCCAGCCCCTCCGTGGCTGGAGCTGATCTGATACTTGCCAGGGAGGCTAGAGAGGATTAATTCTTTCCCTTGGTTCCCCCTTTCTGAGCCTTTGAGAGTGCCTGTCCTATTTCATAGTTTGCAAAGTCCTTTTCAAGGTCACCAGCATCCTTACCTCAGCCCTGCAGGGGACAGTAGAGTAAGGAGGATCTTCCCCATCGTTCCAGTAGGGGAACAGGCCCCTGCACTGGTCATATGTTACATCAGGGGGTGGCTCAGCTGGAATCTCTTACTTCAAGGAGCTGAGCACAGAATTAGCTGCTAGATCTTTCTTGAAGTCATGGTATTAAGTGTTTCGAGTCCAGAAGATCCCAGCTCTGCTTCTCACTAGCTGTGCAGCCTTGGGAGAGTCACTTCACTTTTCAGAACCCTATCTTCTTCTCTGACAAATGGGGATATTGCTAGTACCCATTTGAGAGATGTTGGGAGGATGAAATAAAATAATGCTTATAAATCACTTAGCACAGTGCCTGGAACATAGTGGGTACTCAGATAATGAGGTTATTATTATGCTTAGTGCCTAACATAGAACATCAGATCAGGAGGACTATCCAGGCCAAGGGTAATTTACTAATATTCCTTTATCACTACTATGTGCCAAACACATTCATCAGGACACAATCCCTATAACTCAGTGCCATTTTACAGATGTGGTAACTGAGGCTCAGAGAAGGAAAGTGACTTGCTCTAACTCCCTATCCAATCAGAGGAAGAGTCTAGGCCTGGACTCAAGTCTGTGTCTGTAATGTCAGCTCTGTTCTGCTGGATTCTCCAAACTTTTCATGTAAAGGCCCAGACTTCACAGGAAAAGGGAGTTACTTGGGGATCCACAGCAGCTAGGAATAGATCAGAGCACACCAGGGAGGCCTTTTCCATCCTGGCAGCTGTGCACAGGTCTGGATAACTCTCCAGTTTTAGGATTAAAACAGGAGCTGACTGACATAGTCACAGTCCTCAGAAGGGTCCTGGAATCTGGTCCACGGTCTCAGGCAAGCTGGCAGATCTCAGCTTCCCCACATACTCCTCAGCCCCCACCCTACCCTGTGACCACCCCTTCCCCACCTCCAGCTTTCAGCATGCCCCCCCCTCTTTTTTTTTTTTCAATCAGCTGAACCTTCTGCCAAAGAAAACTCATTGATGCCCGCAAACCAGCCAGCCAGGGAGAAGGCTGCCCTGGAATGTTGGAGGGGGGTCACCAAGCTGTTTGCGGGCAGGCCAGCAGAGAAATGTGAGCAGCTACCTTTTTTGGGTAAAGTCTGAATTCCCTCTGTGAGAAAGGATCCAGGGAAGGTTACCTTAGAGGCTTGGGCCTCAGTTTCCCCGTGATCACCACCATGGTATTTATAAGGTATGAGTAACTTCAGTTATTGATTTTCAACAGCTATTGGTTGGGTGACTGCTGTGTGCCCGGCATTGAGCTGGGCTGGCCGCTTGGGACACAGCTGACAGAGCTGACGCCTGTGCTTGGGGAGGACTTTTCAGCAGAAAGCAGTGTCTCAGTAATTCTTCCAGTGAACAAAAGGCAGGTGCCCCAGGCCCACAACCCTGATCAACACTCTTGGGACTGGTCAAGTTACAGATCTCAAAATTTTGGGGGTTTTAAAAGGTGGTCTGGGGGCGCCTAGTTGGCTCAGTCAGTTAAGCATCTGACTCTGGCTCAGGTCATGATCTTGCAGTTTGTGAGTTCGAGCCTTGTGTTGGGCTTTGTGCTGACAGCTCAGAGCCTGAAGCCTGCTTCAGATTCTGTCTTTCTCTCTCTCTGCCTTTCCCCTGCTTGCACTGTTTCTCTCTCTTGAAAATAAATAAGCGTTAAAAAAAATGTTAAAGTTTATCTGGTGGGGACTGGGTCCACCCATCTCCAATCAAATATATGGATATTGTTGTAGTGAGAAGTTTAAGTATTGAGTCTAAGTGGGACCCCATGTTTGGCCTCCACACAATTTTTTTTCAAATATATGGAAAAGCCCTTGGATGTCTGGGCTTTGTGGACTATAGAATTGAAGACAAGGGATTGAAGCCCTGATTCATCTCCCCATTTTCTCAGATGAGAAAACTGAGGCTTAGAGGAGAGGATTCACATACCCCAGGCCCTAGAGCAAGCGGATGGTGCAGGTGGGTGAATGCAGGTCTTGGTGACTCCACATTCAGAGCTTGTCACCAGCAGGGACCCTGGCTGTGAGAGAAGCAAGGGCTGAGTAGAGAAGGCTCTCTAGCCAAACCTCAGTGGCCCACCAGTGAGTTCTGCCAGGAAGGAGTTAAGAGTAATCTGGGCCGCTGCCAGGCTTCTGCACAACGGCTCCTTGCAGGGCCTGCCTGTCTGGGGCCTGTTTACCAGGCCGCACTTGCATCACTGGCTTCGACGTGCAGTGCAAACACACTCACATTCTTGGGTCATGAGAAATGCACAATTGTGATGACATCATGCCCAGAGAGAAGATTTTCGCCAGCCTCCCTCCTGCCCACAGTCAAAGCTGTTTAATTAGCAGTCTTAACTGGAACTCTTGTCTTCTTGTAAAAACCAACTGGAGGAACTTATGGGTGGGGGTTATGGGGGTTGGAGTGAGTGAGGGTGTGTGTGTGTGCGTGTGCGCGCGCGTGTGTGTATGTGTGTGTGTGTTTTAAGGGATAAAAATAGCCCATCTGGGACTCCTTTTGGGGTATTTGTGAGTATCAGTGCACCACTGTTTATATTAAATCTATGTCACACTGGACATTTACGTCTGAATTTGGCTTGGAGACAGGAAGAGAGAAGCCACCCATGTCTTTTTGTTCCCTTTTAGGAGGGAGACATGTAGGCCAAGTAAAAGGGCCCTTGGAGACTATTTAGACCAACCCTCATTATAAAGCCAAGGAAAGGGAAGCCCAGAGAGGGGAGGGCCTTGCCTGAGGTCACACAGTGAGGCTCCAAGTTCCCACACCACTATAAGCACTTTGTAGCACTGCCCCCAGCCCCCTACTTCGGCTTTGTGAGTTGGTTTTTCAGGGTGTTGGAAAAAGAGATGCTTCTAGCTAGAGCTTTCTGGATATCTTTTGAGATCAAAGTGAAGGTAATGGTGGTGGTGGTGGTGGACACGGAGGTGGCCTGGGAGCAGAGGGGAGAGAGATTGAGACCAAAGAAAACCTCACCCTCATCCGCCTGCTCTCTCCTGCCCCTAAAGGAACATACCCTAGGCTTTGAGACATCTGTTCCTCTTCCAGGCACCCCCAGGCTTTCTTTAGCTCCACCTTCCTAAGAAGTGCCACCTCCTCACTGGCTTCCTTCCATGACCATTGAAGACTTATTTCCCACCACGGGGGCTAGATTTTTAGCAAATGAAAATAGAAGACACGAGTTAAATTTGATTTTCAGAAGGGCACCTGGGTGGCTTGGGTGGCTGAGCGTCTGACTCTTGATTTTGGCTCAGGTCATGATCCCAGGGTTGTGGGATGGAGCCCCGCATCTGGTTCCACACCATTGAGCATAGAGCTTGCTTGAGATTCTCTCTCTCTTTAAAAAAAAAATCGACTTTTGGGCGCCTGGGTTGCTTAACTGACTAGTTAAGCATCCGACTTCAGCTCAGGTCATGATCTCGTGGTTTGAGTTCGAGCCCCGTGTCAGGTTCTGTGCTGATAGCTCAGAGCCTGGAGCCTGCTTCGAATTCAGTAACTTCCTCTCTCTCTATACCTCCTCTACTTGTGTGTATTCTCTCTCAAAAATAAATAAACATTAAAAAAATTGACTTTAAGATACACAAATAATGTTTTAGTAGGAATATGTCTCATGCAATATTGAGATACCTGGAAACCTTAATCCCCTTCATCTTTATCATCACCATTGTGGCAGATATAATATTTCCCCATCAGCCTTCCCTCTCTTTCATCATTAACTGAGCCCTGATTTTGTCTGGAGTAGCATTGTGTCCCAGGCTATGAGTCAATCATTAGTCTAAGCTAGTGACAACAACACTGTTCTCCTTTGTCTTTCCAGACTCCCTTGCAGTCAGGATTGATCTGATGGCCTTAAAATGTGTTTGTAAAATTTTTTGACACCGTCCTTTTGAAAAAGTGGAGATTCATCCCCACAACCTTGAATGTAGGCTAGACTCAGTGACTCATTTCAAAGAGTGACTTCTGAGGGTAGGTCATAAAAACCATTGTTGTTGTTACCTTGCTCTCTTAGATTACTTGCTCTGGGTGAAATTAGCCACCATATTGTGAGGACACTCAACAGCCCTGTGGAGAGGCCCACATGGGAGGAACTAAGTCCTTCCACTGTAGCCAGCATCAACATACCAGGCATGTGAGTGAGAGACCTTGAAAGTGGCTACAGCCCCAGTCAAGCCTTTGAATAATTGCAGTGTGGGCCAACATTTTGACTGCAGCATCAGCCAGAGATATCTTTGTATTAATCATATATATTTTTTAAGATTTTACTTATTTTTTTAATGTTTCTTTATTTTTGAGAGAGAATGAGCATGAGCAGGGGAAGGGTGGAGAGAGAGGGAGACAGAGGTTCCAAAGCAGGCTCTGTGCTGACAGCAGAGATCCTGATGTGGGTCTTGAACCCACAAACCATGAATTCATAACCTGAGCCAAAGTCAGAGGCTTAACTGATTGAGCCACCAGGTGCCCTAAGATTTTTTAAGCAATATCTACACTCATTCTTGGAGGTTGAACTTACAGCCCAGAAATCAAGAGTCATATGCTCTACCAATTAAGCCAGCCAGGCACCCCTGTATTAATCATATTTAAAATTTTCTATATTTTATGATATGTAAACATCTTTGGGGGGGTCCTTGCTGGCTGGGAAAAGACTGTCCTACCCAGAGCTAGCTAATTCCTAGAGACAGTAAACAACCTGTTGGTGAGCCCACCTTTTATGTACAAACCAACCAATCCTGAGTCCATACACCTCCCCCCGCCAGACACCACCCATCTAACTTCCATACCAAGCTAATATTTCCTTGACCTAGATCAACCCGAGGCCAGGTACTAGACAACTAGGGACAGCCCCTGTGCCCTGGAGCCCACTGGACTTATCCAAACTATCCAAACATTACCCTGCCTTGCCTTGCCTATCCCACAGAAACACCAATGAAGGTTGTGGCCCTGGCTTTCTCTTGCTTCTTTCTGCCTCCTGACCAACACTGGTGCTTCCCCCTATGGCCCCATGTGGCATGCTGTGCCTCTTGTTTCTAGGAGAACTGTGAGTAATGTCAAACTTTTCTTTCAGTGGTATTGAACTCTCCATGTCATCATGTAGTCATCTTTATAAATGAAGACACAGGCACAAATCACCCCTCAGAGATCCTGATTCAGAACCACCAAACTACACCATCCCTAACCAACCTACAGAAACTGAGAGATAGGAAAATGTTTATGGCAGTGTTAAGAAACTAGGCTTTGGGTAATTTGTTCCCCAGCAATGGATAACTAATATGAACGGTCATGTAACCTAGTTCTGACTAGTAAGACATAAGGGAAGGTATGATGGGATGCTTCTAGAAAGCTTTCCTCATAAAAGGATCAACAGGGAGAAGAGAGCTCAGGGGTATGACCCTCCTTGAAGAAGGATGATACTTATAGAAATTCTATGACAGCCATCTTGGTACCATGAGGCACTGAAGATAAGGACAGAGGAGTGAAAAAGTAGAAAGGACCTGTGCTGGGCTCCTGGGTGGCTCAGTTGGTTAAGTGTTTGACTTTGGCTCAGGTCATGATCTCGTGGTTTGTAAGTTCGAGTCCTGCATTGGACTCTGTGCTGACAGCTCAGAGCCTGGAGCCTGCTTCAGATTCTGTGTCTCCTCCTCTCTCTGCCCCTCCCCTGCTCATTCTCTCTCTCTCTTTCTCTCTCTCAAAAATAAGTATTAAAAAAATTTTTAAAGAAAGGACCTGTGTCTTTTATAACATCATTAAGCAGGTAAACTAACTCTGTAACCACCTGCATCCAGATTTGCAGACAAGCAAGCAATCAATGTGGTTATGGTTTAAGCTACTGTATCCTGCAACTTGCAACTTAATGCATTACTAACCACTACAGTCAGCAAACACAGTAATAGCTCACTTAATTGAGTAACTTGTATAATGACTTCATTTATCTACAATCTGAAATGAAGCTAAAGGGCCAACCAAGCACCAAAACCAACACCCCAATGTCCATACTAAGCACCTTACTCTCAGGTAAGCTTTCCCTCACCTTTGCTCATAGGCTTTTAACTTTTACTTTAGACACAATTCTTTTTTTTTTTTTTTTTTTTTTTTTTTTTTT